GAAGATTAAAGACCCAAGTCACCAGAGGCTGCTGCTTCGCAAGAATATTTAGACAGTTTCCACTTGGCAGTCATTAAGATTCTTCAGCAAACGAAGAACAGAAAAACCTGTTCAAAAAGGTTCCCTCTTCAGATCTCTGTATCTTGGATGATAAAATGAAGGCCAGAGTTTTTGTTTTGAAATTAAATATTTATTGGATCGGGTTAGAGTTGTCACTGTTTTTGAGACTAAAACTGGATTTTTCTTTTGTTTTTGCAAAAATCTAGTCATTTTACTGAAGAATCCATTTCTGTACTGAATCAGTTGGGCAATGCCGGGTATGATTTTTCTAATAGACACTACTTGCAATGCAATACAGAAGCACTCAAAGTATTTTATAGAGCGTGCATGAGCAATTTGGCATCACAGAAACCCTGAAGACAGAAGCAACCACGGAAGAGAGGAAAGAGATTTGGAGGTCAGACCCTGGGAACTACGACAGCCTCTGGGTAAGCTCATCAGTTCTGTTCATTGATAGCTGTTTTATAACATCTCTGAGTGTCAGTTTCCTAAGCTATAAAATGGGGAGCATATTTCTTTTCTTCTCAGGGCTTGTGTAAGACTTTGGAAATGATAGCTAGAAAATGAGTGACACATATATAGAACAGCACAAGAGTGGCAGCTATTATCCCTATTTTAACATAAATACTGAGAATCCGTCAGTAAATGGCTTGAAAGCCATTTACGTCTGTTTACTTTTTTTTTTTTTTTTTTAATCTTTCAGGCACTGTTGCTAACAATTTCCTTGAATTTAAACATCTTTTAAAAGGTTTCAAAGCTTTGAAGGTTGATTTCAATGAAACCTGTTTTTATCCTAGGCGTTTTTCCTACTGCCATTCTGAGTAAAACAAAAACCATTTGCTGTCAAAACAACAAGGGTTTGCTCTGAAGCACAAAATGAAAGCAGGTATGTCTGCCTGATTAATTTTGGCATCCGCCTAGCAGTTAAATAGGACACCTTTTAATTTGTCACTTCTTTAAGATTCAGTTAGGTTGGAAAAGTAAATCACCAGTGCTTGTTTTCAGCTAAACTTGAACTACTTGGGCAAAAAGGTATATTTTTTTTTATCCCTCAGACACAAACCATTTCAAAAGTGCCAGTTACAGAAGAAACTACAAAGTTGGCAACATACTTAAGATACTAAGATTTAATGTTTTTAAATTTTTACTTAAACTGGAGGAAGTTAGAAATTGAACTTATTTATCAAAGATCAACTAGAGGTCTGCGAAGAGGCATAGAAGGTCAGGCTTTTCAACAAGACCATGTAGAATTATTTAAAAGGGTGAATATCCAGCTTTTAAAAAAATTAAAATCAACTATGAGTAAAGAGACTCGAAATTTAAACTTTAACTCTACCATCTGCTACCTGAAAAGTTATTCGATCTCTCCAAGTCTCAGTTTCTTTATATATAAATTGGGGATAACGTCTACTGTTAAGAAGATTAAATGAGGCAATGGCCATACAGCATGGAGCATCTATCGGGCACATATTGGCTGCTCAACAAGTATGAGGCGCTATTATTCAGAAAGGCTTCTGTAACATTTTCTAACAATTCCGTCCAAGAGTGAGCATTTCTTACTGTATGAAAGTTGTTTCTTCTCTTTGGCCTAAATTTATTTTGCTGGAATCCATTCTCTCATTTTCTCAAAGTTGTTGGTAACGTCTGTTTTAATACTTTCTGTTTAAGAAGGCCAGATTGAGGGCATGTGTTTATACAACCATTAACATAACCATTCTTAAACAGAGGTGCTTTTTGGCATCTCAATGACCTAATCATAATCTGTATGCTGGCTGATTACTGGATCAACCAACTGATTTAATAACAAGAGGAAATAAAAATGACACACACACACACACACACACACATACACATACACACATAAATACACACACGTGCTTTTCTTTTTCTGTTCTTCAATATATATAAAAGTCAAGGTCCAGCTTCAGACTTCTTTTCCTTTTATGTTTTTTGTGTGGAGTGTGTGGGGAATGTGAAGGAAGATCAATGCTTCCTTCTTTGAGTCCCTTAAAGCAGATGCTCTTTTTTTTTTTTTTTAAAGCAGATACTCTTGAAATGAACTATGGGGCAACTCTTTGAGAGTCTAGGTTAAGTTTGGTCTTCCAACCAACTGTTTAGCAGGTTTTCTGTTTATTTTTTACTTTATTTTTTTTTAGTAGAAGACACAAATCCATAGGGTGAATCCTGGGGTCTTTCCCAACTTTGAAAGTCCCATGCTAAATGTGGTCCAAATACTGCATCTATATACATGGTGTGCTTTTTCTGACAACATCCTCCTCATTCCACACTGTGGCTGATTTTCCAAGCGGAGCCAGTACCTGAATTGAATCGAAGACAAACTGATCTAACTCCTCAATGAAGCTCGCTTTTCACCTGGTCTGATGGCAGCTTTGAGAGAAGCGATTTCCTCTTCCAATCCCTCACCTGAATATCCCGTAGCAGCTTGTGGAATAAAACCAGGCTAAACGGTTGTTCTCAAACATGTTTATTTGTAACAGTTTTACATGGAGTGTTACAGAAATTAATGGAAAATTTCTAAAAATTTTGCTGTTCTGTTGAATGCATTGTACATAAAGTTAAAAATAATGTGTCCATATATGTTAACAAACTGTCATCTGAGGTAAAGTTAAAGTAGGTCTAGAAATGTACTGCAACAGTCATTTTCTCTTTCTCATCTTTATTAAAAAAATATGTGTCAGAACGCAGAAATTGAAATGAACCAAACCCACAGAGTAAACATTTTTTTTTTTTTTAAAGAAGGTGCCCGGTACATTACATGATGGGGTTTCAGTAGACACTGGGATGAGTACGAATTATCAAAAAAGTCTTGCGGCATGTAAAGATCGGAGAGCTATGGGGAATGGGGACAGAATGACAGGTGGTGTTTCCCTGGTTTCAAAATTTAAAGTGACAAATCTTCTGCTAGTGAAGAATGAGGAATTAACAGTTGTACATGTGGATTTTCTACCAATCTGACTGGAACTGTGCAGACTCCCCCATGGCCTCTTGGTATTGGCACCTCAGCTCTTATTTGGAAATTTCACTGTATTCCTGGGATAGGATACGGTGGTTCTGAGTTCCCCAAACAGTGCTTATTAAACAGCAGAATTCTGCCAATGATAACATGGATGGCAGTTTAAAATCTTGACTTTATTCCACTCACTTTAATGCATCACAGGGGCCATCTTCTTTAAATTCAGAGCCAGTTACATTTTCAACCACATTCAGTGAATGATGACAAGTCCACTGGGCTGTCCCTTTCTTCTATGAAATGAGCTCCATACGGTGTACCTGAAATAGCAACGTCAGCCAGAGTTCACTTTGAATGTGTCAGAAGCAACCCACAGAATCAGTGGAAGAGTGTGATACTGCAAGACAAACTCAAGACAGCCATATTGAGGGAGAAGATAGCACCACTGGTTTAGAATCAGAATCATGGACAACAGAGCGATTTAAGTCATTTCCCCATGGGAACTGCCTATCTCATCAAATCCTCAGAAAACAGAGTTGAACTGGTCTCAGGACAGCTCTCATGGTTATCACACCTTTCCCATTTTCCCCTCCGTGTGGAAGGATCAACTCATCAAAGGTATGCACATTCCTAAAGAAATCATGTCGACCAACATGTGACAGCTACAGAGGAAGGTGAATGGCCCTTTCCACGTTTCGGGTTCTTTAGACTTTGCATGTTAGGGTGACGCTTACATCTATTCTGTAATGGACATTTTCCCGGTTAACTGGAAAACATTCAGATTCCAGTGACCTGGTAGTGTAAAACTTGGGCTTCAAACAGTTAACAATCACCTTGACTTATCAATTTTTTTCTTGGTCACCAAGTATACCTTCTTCCAAACCATTTTAGTTTCTATTAATATGAAGAATCAAAGTACACAGGCCAATTGAAGTCATTCATATCAAGGTAAATCCTACTTTTCAAATTTTAAAACCAAGTAAGAATAATCACCCCACCCCCAATCCAATTCATCACATGATTTTTTTAAAGTTTTCTTCTTAGTGTTAAACCACTAAATTCAACATACTGTAACTGCATAGGAACATCAGGAAAACACATTTGACCTGTAGAACAATTCTCTGTAGGGCAAAAAATATATAGATTCTTTATGAAAATCATGTGCTAAACATACGAACCGAACACTGCACTTTTTGTCTCATAAATGTAAAAAAAGGAAGCTTAAACTCTTCTGTTTCACGTACAAACAGTCCAATGATGTCTACGGGGGTCGCTGGGAGTGGAGAAGTGGGAGGGAGTTTCAGAATCTGAAACTGGAGTTTCAGTTCACAGGCCTTCAGAGCGTGAACTGTCTCTTTCTTGTTTTATGCAGAGGGCCGGTACTCTCGCGGAAAGGCTTAGATTATTAGCTGATGGAGTCACGTGCTCCTTTCCTGATCACTAGCTGCTGATTGGACAACTGCTCCTGCCTGCTGCCCCTGAACTCCAGCTTCCTACCATACGCTCCAGAGTAACATCTGGAAAGTGGGCCCCATCCATCAAATTTGTTGTATCTTTCACTCAATCTGCTACCTTCTCTACAGTGTAATGGCATTATTAAAAAACATTTTCATTAACATCTATATTTACAAAAAAAAACTGGCAATTTTTTTTCATTAGAACTCCTTAAAGCCATTTCCCTTAAATATTTAAAGAGTTTAATGGTAAGCTTTTTTTGTTTCAAGTTATAAAATAAAAATCCCATTTGAATTTTCTGATGTAGAAAAAAGAGATAGAGATGAACCACTGTGACCACAGAATCAGTTTGTTACTCTGAATATTCATGTCACTATTGTTCCATTAGAAAGTCATTTTTTAAGATCTCAAACCACATTACCAGGATTGTACCATAATTATTTGGCAAATGACTTTTCTTTGAAAATGGCACGTGGAGAAGACACTGTCTGCATAGCATCACAGCAGCAAGGTATCGGAAAAATAAAAAATCTCATTTTATTGGACTTAGAGTTTAGAGCTTCTGAGGAAATCAGATGCATTTTTCATCTTTCTCATCAATGGGATTCGATGTCCTTTCCTACTCACAGAGTGAAGGTTAAACCGAAAGCTGTCTTTCTTCACCAGGATGCAGAAGAGCTAAAGGGTTGTTTTGGCAACATTCTTGATCAAAAAGAATCATCAACCACTCATCTGTCTTGTGATTTCAAGTCAATTCATTTCATATGAGGTTTTTTTTTTTTTTCCCAGTTCGATTTCTTCACCAATATCTAAAAAAAGTCAAAAGCAATACAAAAATTTGTACACCCATTAATTTTCAAACATGACAAAGAAAGGAAAGGGGGGAAAATGGCAGACCAGGCATTATGGAGTGATGTAAATACATCATCCTATTTGGAAAGGCATATGGATGATGATATTGTGGTGACAGAGACCTCTTACTTTTGCCTAAATGACGTCAGTGCCAACCCTGATGTAACTCTCTGAGGCCTGTCACTCCAAATTTGATGTCTTTACAGTGGCCAACCGGTAGAGAAATAAAAAAGAGAACTATGGTTTCGCATACCGGGTCATCTTAAACCCACGTGTTAAGAGAGCTTAGGCTCTTTGTCAAGTAAGCATTTGCTTGATTTGTGATTTAATGTTGGGTATGATTTTTTATGCTTCTGTGTGTTTGTTTTTGTGCTGCCATAGATATCTGCCAGTGGTTGCCAAAGACTCTTAGTTCCCTCTTCCAAACGAGTTCCATTGGGCAATCATGAATTTCTTCGTGGGATGAGGTGAGGTGAAAGAATACAAGAGAGCCTGTCGCGATGCTGATTTCCATGCCAGTCCTGAAGCACCCGCCACAAGCCCGCATTGATGCTATTTCTTAGATTTGTTGATCCGCGCATAAAGAGGCTCCAGCTCCTATGGACAGAGGGACAAAGTGAGATCTGCTCTTTTCCGGATAGGATTTTCTGAGACAGCATGGGAAGGAGGGTTTGGGATTAGAACAGAAAGGTGACAGTTTACGATGAATGACCTTAGGTTATTTTGGGATTATTCAGTCATGGTGCATATCATTTTGGTATCTTTTTTATCCTTAAGAAGAACAACTCACCCAGTTTTGCCCCTGGTTTTCAAGCTGAGCCTGACTGCCTGTTAGGGAAATCGCAGGGTCTAGTAGACAGAGCTGGACCAGCTGTGTGATGTGGACAAGATACTTACACTTTCTGAGCTTCAGTTTCCCCAACCACGAAATGGGAATAATACTGTTTATCCTACATGGTTCTTGAGAGAATTAGAGAAAATATATATAAAGCCTCTAGCACAGTACTCAACAGGAACAGGTCTTCAGAACATGGTAACAATGATCATGAATTAAATGAACATTTTTCCAACACAGTTTTACGAAATCCACTTGAGGCTGCTGAAATTCCATCTCCTACCGCTCTTTGGTTTCTACGAGCAGTGATGACTGGGTGCACTTTAGAATAAGAGAAATGGCAATCGTGCCGTTAGCTCTTAGTTAAAAGCTTCTCGAACTTGTTTCGATCCACTCAGCTGTGTGAGGTTTGGCGGGTCACTTGCCTGCACCCATGGGGCTGTCCTAAGACATACACAAGGGTTTTCACCAACATATGACACAGCAAACCTCCAATCCAAATGTAGATGGGAAATGGTGTTTGGCCTTGTTGAAATCGCTTCAGACTTCAGTTCATGTTGAAATGGCCCAGGGTGCACTGGCCAAGCAGTTCAGGTCAATATTCTGGTCTTAGGCATGCACAGGCCCTTCTAATAAAGTTGGCCTTCATGCTGTCACTCTTGGATATTTGTACCAGAACTAAATGGACACAGTGACATCTTAATTCTGTCATATTTTATATGTTAGCCTGCCTCTTGCCATGTGAGTAAAGATCCCTTTTAACTGCTTATTTTCCTGAAGGAACAGATTGAACTGGCATTCTATAGCTTCTCCTGTGTGTCTGGCACCATGCTAGATATTTTCAAGTACATTGTCTTTTGAAAACATCACAACAGCCTTGTAAGGCAGGTGATTTATCTCTTTTGCAAATGAGAAACCAAGCACAGAGAAGTTAAGTAGTTTGTCTATGGTCACACAGCTAGTAAGTTTGGGACATGGGACCTAAAAGTAAGGTCCAGTGCCTTTTCTCATCTATTATAACAGCTGCCATTAAAAAAAAAAACAAAAACTAAAAAACAAAAAACTTCAATCTATGGTGTCGTAGAGTGTTTTGGAGTTTATAAAGCACCCTTATGTCTTATTTTACCTGCCTAACAGTCCTGGGAGTGGTTTATATTCTTTCCATCTTCATTTTGCAGATAAAAACTGAAAATCAAAGAGGTTGTGTGATCTCAAAGTCACTGTGCTGCCTGTCATGGATTTAATATATTGTACTACCTGCTTTTATTGTAAAGTGGGGATGGGTTAGAAGATAATTTTGTCCAGACCCATCATTTTACAGATGAGGAATGTAAAGCCCAGTGAAGAGAGCTTTTGTTGCCCCAGAGTCACAAGGTTACTTAGTAACCATGCCGTGAATAGAATCCAGGACTCCTGAGATCAGGTAGGTACAGGATGTCTTCTTCCAGCACTCATCATCTCTGTATTCTTTCAGGAGGAAGGAGCTTCCTAGGCTTTGAGGCACCCAATTCTGTAAAAGAACAGACTGCCAATTTGTCCCTCGATGCTTTCCACCCATGGGACTTCATACCGGCCTTGGAACATAAAGAATAAGTGTAATAATTCTTCCAAATATCTGATGCTAGAAAGTAGGAAAGCCCATCCATGCCCTACTTGAGCTACCACTTCCCCATTCCACCTGCCATTTTACAGGTGGACCCAGCGCTGTAGGTGCACAATGAAGGTCTGCTGAATGAATGAATGTCTAGGATACACTTTCCACTTGTTTCACTGTTCTGATCCCTTTGTCCTAAACACACTCTCCCTTGGCTTTATTCTCCCATAACTGAATCAAAAATCAAAATCTATAGCAAGGGGCTTCCCTGGTGGCGCAGTGGTTGAGAATCTGCCTGCCAATGCAGACGACACGGGTTCGAGCCCTGGTCTGGGAAGATCCCACATGCCATGGAGCAACTGGGCCCGTGAGCCACAATTGCTGAGCCTGCGCGTCTGGAGCCTGTGCTCCGCAACGACAGAGGCCGCGATAGTGAGAGGCCTGCGCACCGCAATGAAGAGTGACCCCCACTTGCCACAACTGGAGAAAGCCCATGCACAGAAATGAAGACCCAGCACAGCCATAAATAAATAAATAAATAAATACATTGTGTATTATTTAAAAAAAAAAAAAAAAAAAATGCCCCACGTTGTTAAGATAACAAATGCCATTGTATTTAAAAAAATAAAAATAAAAAAAAATCTATAGCAAGATGATTTATTAAGCACCTAATCTATTCTCTGCCAATGTCTTGAAATGTTTCAAATACCTGTGGTAAGGCTAAACGTGGAACTTGCCTGTGTGTTTGTGTTCTGGGTATGAGGCGGGTGGAGCAAAGCTAGAGTGGTGCTGAAATACCACTACTGGGAAACATTTCCTTTTGCCTGCGCTGGGCTACAAGGATGCATCTTCATCTTTCCTGGGTAGACTTTCTCAGCTCACTCTGCTTTTTGGATACCCTAAGAAGTCTGGCTGCCTTGATCTCACCCTACATTTGCTTTATTCCAATTTTGGAAACTAATTTATTCAACTGAGAATGACACCTAAAAACAGAAGAAGACAGCAGGCTCAGACAGCGTAATTAATGCCACACTGCAGTAACTTTCTGCAGCTGAGATAAATATTCACACATCTCCTGCTTGCCGGAATTGAGCTTCAAATACCCATCACAACAGTGGTAACGACTGCAGTCAACTCTCAATTATCCCCACTAAATGAAGGGGAGCAGTGGTGTGTAAAACCCCAAGCAGCAGATAATCCCAAAGTCTGACACTCTGATGCATTATACGTTTTGGCAATAGCTTTACCTTCCTTGTTACAGAATCTTAGGCTGTCAGAGCTGGAGGGGAGCTAAGAAATCATTTGATCCAGAAATTTCTGACCTGACTTCTGGCAAGGTCACCATGGGGTCTTTAAGCTATTTTCGACATTCCAAAAAGCCTAAATGGAATCACACATTAACATGACACGCTGTTGATAGTTTTTGTTTTCTTTGGTCAGATCTGACCACATCTCGGCCCTGCTTCAAATCCTTCAACGGCTCCTCATTACCCACAGGGTAAGGTCAAAGCTCCTTCACTGGGCACATAAGACCCATTAGTCTCGTAGTCCGTTAGAGCTAATAAATGTCCCTTCCAGATCATGAATCAAAAGTTACCCTTCCTGGGACTTCCCTGGTGGCACAGTGGTTAAGAATCTGCCTGCCAATGCAGGGGACATGGGTTCGAGCCATGGTCCGGGAAGATCCCACATGCCGCGGAGCAGCTGAGCCCGTGCGCCACAACTACTGAACCTGCGCTCTAGAGCCTGCGAGCCACAACTACTGAGCCCGTGTGACACAACTACTGAAGCCCGCGTGCCTAGAGCTCGTGCTCCACAACAAGAGAAGCCACCGCAATGAGAAGCCCGCGCACTGCAACAAAGAGCAGCCCCCGCTCGCCGCAACTAGAGAAAGCCCGTGTGCAGCAACGAAGACCCCATGCAGCCAAAAATAAAAATAAGTCAACTTATTTTTTAAAAAAAGTTACCCTTCCGGTCACGTACATCATGCTTAAAAAAAATTCTTATGCTTCTGTCACAATGATCTTTCTGAAATGGATTTTGTCATGCCAGTTTCCTGCTTAGAACGACCCTCCCAGCTCCTTAAGGCCCCAAGGATAACGCAGACTCCTCAGGATGGTCCACAGGGCCCTTCCAACATGGCTCCCCCTTCCCAGCCGGCCTCATCCACTTCCTCTCTCTCCTAGGCTGCACCTTCTTCCCTGTACATCTGGTCCCCCGGATATGATGGGATTTCCCATCCCTGAGACTCTGCTTAGACAATTCCTTCCACCTTCAGGACCTCTCCTCGTCCTGCACCTGGGGGTTCATACTTTCAGCACCAGCCCAAATAGAAGGGCTTCCTGGACTATGTAGGTGACGTGGACCACTCTGCCCCGGACTCCAGCAGTGCCCTGTGGAGTCTACACTGTCATCATGTTATCTCCTGGTGCCTTCTACACAGTGAGCTCCGCTGCACCTTGCACGTCAGCATTCCAAATTCTGAGCCCAAGCTTGGAAGCTGGCAGGCGCACCCACTAACACGGAGCGTGAGGATGTGAATGAGTGAATGAAAAGTGCTTCTCTTACTGAGAGTTGGCAAACACTTCTGAACTTTAAGCTCATTTGTGAATCTGACATATTAGTAATCTTCATTTCTAGAGGACAACAAAGTAGATAGAAACCATGCAGTAAAAATGAAAACAAATCAACTCTCCACCCTTTGACTTAGGTTGAATACCCTGTTTTCCGGGAGGTGCAATGAAAGAGTGCAAGCACACAGATGGGAAATCGGGCAGATCCAGGCTGGTATTCCTACTGCCAACTACTGCCTGCAGCCATAGACCACCGCGAGCACACTTGCACTTGAACAAGTTGGGTTTATTACTCATTACAACGAGGGGAACCACAGGCAAGTCTGGAAGAGGTGATTAGAAAGGGCTTCTTACGGGTTTAGGCTTATATTAGATGTTTAGGGGGAGGGTCAAGAAAGTAAGGCTTCTCTCTGGGTTGGATGCTTTCAGGAAGCTGGAGTATGATTATCTTAATAATTCTTATCTGGGAGGCAGGTAGCATGGAACAAGGCTAAAGCCAGGAGAGAAGAATATTTGGTCATTTTTGGAATTTGGACAATGTTCCTGTCAGCCATGGCTACCGAGTGGTCTGGACGTGTCTTGACACATCACGGTC